CACATGTTTGGCTCCCAGCACCAGTCTTGGATGGTTCATAACCACCTGGAGCTTTGCTCCAGGGTATTTCATCCTTTCTTCTGGCCTTTTCAGCACATGCAGCTCCCACCCTCCCACATACACACAACTAAAAATGAAATAAATCTAGTAGAGAAAATAATTCAGACATGTCAAGCTGGCCTTGAACTCCTAACCCTCCTGCTCAGCATCACCAGCGTTGGGATAAAACATAGTTCGCATTTAAATGCTATCATAAATTTAAAAACCTCACTTTACATGGCTGGTATCATGCATGTGCTATTGGTCTTGAATCCATACAGCATCTTAGACTCACCTATCAGTTCCGGTTGCTTCTTATTATGTCCTAGAGAACTTTCTCCATAGACAATTACATTTGTATAGATCAACATGTCATCTAATATATTTTTTCTTTTTTTAAGAGAGTCTAACTACACAGCCCTGGCTGTCATGGAGCTTGCTATATAGACCAGGCTGTCCTCAAACTCACAGAGATCTGCTTGCTTCTGCCTCCCAAGTGCTTGGATTAAAGGCCTGTGCCACTATGCCTGGCTGGCATATTTTTTCTTATGCCTGAAGATTTCTTGTAATAGTTCCTTGTTGTGGGTCTGCCAGTGATAAGTGTATTTTGAGGCATTTGCATGTCTTTATTTTGCTTTCATGGTTGAAAGATGTTTTCACTAAGTTACATAATTCCAGATTTATGTGTTTCCTTTCTGTATGAATGAGCTATATATTCCTTTTCTTCTGGCTTTCACTTTTTCCAGCCAGAAGGCAGCTATGATTCCTGCCTTTTTTTTCTCTGTGTATAGTCTATCCCTTTTACTCTGCCCTCAGCTGCTTTTAAGAATTTTCTTTTGATCATTAGTTTTAAGGAATTTGCAGGCTGGAAAGATGACTGGGCTGGTAAAGGGCTTGCCACGCAAGCATAAAGACCTGCACCTGGATCCCCAGAACCCACATAAAATCTGGATGTGACAGTACCTGTCTGTAACCTAGTGTTAGAGGGCATGGTGACAGGAGGATGCCTGGAGCGCATTTGCTTGCCAGCCAGCCAAATCCCAGGTCTCAGCCTTTAGCGAGAGACTGTCAAAAAAGAGCAAATGAATCAGATACCCAACACTGACACTCACACACCTCCACGCATATGTAAACACAACAGATGCCCACCCCCATTTGAAGAGGGTCTGAGGTTGTATCTCAGTAGGGGGTGCTTGTCTGACATGCTCAAAGTCTTAGGTTTAATCCCTAACACCACATTAACCAGGCATGCCGATGCACACTTATAATCCTAGCAGTCAGGAGATGGAAGTAGGAGAATCAGAAGTTCAAGGACATCCTTGGCTACATTATGAGTCCAAGGTCAGCTTCTCAATACACACATGCATAAATACATTATACACACATACAATAACATTCAAAGATCCAAGCAAGATAATAAGGAATTATTTGGAAATTATGCAGAATTCTTAAGCCACATTGGCCCATCCAAAAGATTGAATTGAATTTTATTTTATCCCTTGGAATTCTTAAGGAAGGGACGTTCCCTTTACCAGGAATGCCTTGACATCATTTCATTTCAGTCAACAGATGATTTAAGGGCAGATCCATGCCCAAGTGAAACTCCACATTTAATATTAGCTATGCTCAAGCATTAAGAAGTTCTATTGTAACAGAAGCTGCCATAACAAGGACTGTGCTAAGTTTTTAGATCACTAAATCCCTTGACGACACGACCTTTAAGATCCTATTGCACAGTCAGAAGGTCATAAGCCACATCCTCTGGTCTTTCCTCCAGGTGCTGGAAAAGATGTTCATTTCACTGGGCAACCCATCCCCCTTGTTCTGCCACTTACATCCCAGGTTTCTTTTGATTCCTTCCAGCAGTAATACACATTGTGAAATTGAGTTTCAGAATCATTTGTTTCCGATCCATCAGCTCGGGTACCAAGCACAGGGCAGGGGAGTGTGCTAGCTTTTGCCCAAGTGCTTTCTGTTACAGGTTTGTCTAAATAGCCTTCTAACGATATATGCTTAATCATGGTGAATGGGACTCAACAAAACTCCAGTGGGGTCACTTCTAATTTGCACTAAGATGGCAAACAAATCTCTTGGTTGAGAGGGTCACAGGAGTAACTCTTGTTCAACCCATGTCACCGCAGGGAGCCCCTACGAGCTGCCCATAGTTCTAGAATGAGGGAGGGGGCGCACAAGCAACACCAGAGATTCAACACTTCCTTTTCCGCATCACATTCCAACAGCCTGCTCAAAGTGACGTGGGGTGGGGGGACCTGGGTGGTGTCAGAGGATGCGTGTTGAATGCTGTAGAGAGAAGGGCTGAGGTGGACTCCAGTGGGAGTCTTCACAGGGAGACATCCTGCTTTGGGCTCCTTTTCCTGGAAAGACGCCCTTTAAAGTTCTCCCCTCCCTCCCCCACTCTCCTACTTTAAAAAATACTTTTATCGGTATTTAGTTGTGTGTGTGTGTGTTCGCACATGCATGTATGTGTATGTCTGTATGTATCTATAGAGGCCTGAGATTGAGGTTGGGAGTCTTCCTCGATTGCTCTCCATCTTATTCATTGAGGCAGGGTCAATGCTTTGAACCCAGAGCTTGCTAATGCAGGTTGGTCTAGTGAGCTAACCTGTTCCAGGGGTTTTCCCATCTCTGCCTTCTAAAAGCTGGGATTACAGGGGAGCAGCCCCATCCACTCGAGTCAGTTCTGAGAACCTGAACTCTAGTCCTTAATCTTTGGGCTACACTATCCAGTGAGCCATCTATCTGCAATCTGCTTGGGTTTTTCTTTCGTTTGGTTTGGTTTTTCAAGATAGCGTTTCACTGTAACTTTGGAACTCTGTAAACCAGACTGGTCTGGAACTCACAGAGATCCACCTGCCTCTGCCTCCTGAGTGCTGGTATTAAAGATGTGCACTACCACCGCCTGGCAATTTGGTTGTTTTCAAGAGAGGGCCTCACCGTGTAGCTCCGGTGGCTGCAAACTAACTAGGTAGTCTAGTCAGACCTTGAACCTACAGTCCTCCTACCTCAGCTTTCCAAGTACTAGGATAGCAGGTGTGAGCCACCACACCTAGCTTAAAGGTTTTCATTCTGTAGGGCAAGGCTCAATTCTCTTATTCCTCAAAAAGCTGTCAATATTGGATGGATTTTGCTTCTGTTGTCTGTCTTAGATACAGACATTTCTAACACAGAATTGCAATCCAGTAGCCTTGCTTGTAGTTCTCAGAAACAACATTAGGACCCCTCTCACTGGATAATGTTTTGTGAAGCAGGGCTGGTGAGAGGCTCAGACAGTATAAGTGCTACGTGGCCAAGGCTGACAACCTGAGTGTGTTCCCTGGAACACACAGTGGAAGGAGAGCTCCAGTTCCTGAAAGCTGTCCTCTGACCTCCACATATGTGTGAGGCGTGCACACTTCCACAAGCAAGGTGTAACGCGCACACACCTGCACACACACACACACATGCACACATACACACACCATAGACATGTAGAATCGTTTTAATTGTGTGTGTGTGTAGGGAGAGAGAGAAGGCGCAGCAGTTAAAAACACTTTCTGCTCTTTCAGAGAACCTGAGTTCAGTTCCCAGCACCCATTCAGGCAGCTCACAACCATCTTTACCTCCAGCTCTAGGGGATCCTACACCCTCTTCTGATTTCTTTGGGAACCTGTGTGTGTGTGTTTGTGTGGTGTGTGTGTGTGCACACACAAATAAAAGTAATCTTAAGAAAATATTGTCCCTAGATCCAACAGCACATACTCTATCATTAACATTTGAACACTGATGTCTAATTTTATACTATCTTGATACATGCTAGAGAGAAGGGAGCCTCTATTGAGAAAATACCTCCATAACATGTGATTGTAAGCAAACCTGTTGGGCATTTTCTTAATTCGTGATCAATGAGGGATGGCCCAGCCCTTTGTGGCTGGTGGTCCTGGGTTCTACAAGAAAGCAAGCTTAGCAAGCCATGAGGAGTAAGCCAGTAAGCAGCACCCCTCCATTGCCTTTGCATCAACTCCTGTCCCCAAGTTCCTCCCCTGCTTGAGTTCCGGCCCTGACTGCCTTTGGTGATGAATTCTTGATATGGAAATACAAGCCAAAAAAAAAAAAAGAAAAGAAAAGAAAACCCTTTCCCCAAGTTGCTTTTGGTTATGGTGTTTCATCAGAGTAATAGAAATCCTAACTATGACAGGCACTTACAGTACACCAGGCCCTATCTAGACACTGGTTTATCAGCATAACCTTCAGCACTGTGACTTGTTTATTTATTTATTTATTTATTTATTTATTTATTGGTTTTTCGAGACAGGGCTTCTCTGTATTGTTTTGGAGGCTGTAGGCTGGCCTCGAACTCACAGAGATCCGCCTGCCTCTGCCTCCTGAGTGCTGGGATTAAAGGCGTGCACCACCAACACCCGGCTAACTTGTTTATGTAATAGGTCAAGTACTCATCTTGGTTTCAATGGGGTAGGGACCAGCAATCCCTTCACCTCTCCACTCACCCCTGCCACAGCCCACAGCAAACACACATGTACCTTTTACGGCTCCACTTTGGCAGTTCTCAAACCAGGACTCATGATACCATTTACTGGTTTAAAAATGAAGATGAAGCATCAAAACATCAGTTTGTAGCTCTGAGTAATGCACTTAATGCAAATTTATTTTGTTCTTGGGGTTTATAAATTGAGTGAGTTCTTTTTAGAACGAAGAAGACAAGGGAAAAATTGAGATACAATAAAAAGAACGGAGTCAAAGCTTTGACCTCAAATATCACACATTGACTCAGATTCTTTTGGCTTTCGTATGCCATAGGATTTTTTTTGGCATTAAATTGACCTTATCTGTCAAACCCCGAAACTCAAGGCTACAGTACAGTATTATGCCTTTGTTCTCAGAACCCTTTAACCACTTTATACAGTGTTCTGGAAGATAGACCTAAAAACAATCATTATACAGTATCACTTTTAGAAAGGTGGGATTTATTTGAGTTGGGAAGTTAAACAAAGATTGATTTTTGTTGGAAAGGAAAGAGAACCTTATGTGGAGAATGGATGTATTTAGGGATGTTTAAATGGAAGGGAAACACCCTTCAAACCACTTCAGCTCGTAAAGGCTGCTCATTAGGCTGGACTGCATCACAGAGCAAAAGAAGGAAAGAGCTCGGTGAGCTGAGCAGCTGCCTCTGCAACAAAAGCCGTGGTGCGCATGAAGGGTTTCTCTCATTTCACGTGGTCCGGGGATGAGCTGGGATGGCCACGGGACATCTGAATCACAGATGAACATGTTTTCCTGGTGGAGGCTGGTAATGGCCCAGTTCCTCTCAGACGGGCAGTGTGAACTTTGCAATCTCGTTGCATTTTTCATTCAGCTGTTGCTCTAGTTTCCTTTCTGCCCCTGTGATAAAATGCCCTGAAAAGACGCGAGGAAGGGAGGAAGAGGGTTATTTCAGCTTACATTCCAGGTTACAGTTCACCACTGAGCAAAGTCAAGGCAGGAACTTGCAAGGCAGGACTGCTTGTTCTCCCATGCAACCTTCCCACTGACCAAAGAACTCACTTGGCAGCCAAGGAAGTGTAGCCAAAACCATGGAGGATTGGGCTTGCTAGCTTACAGAGCCAGTTATACTCGGCTAACTTATTTATTTATTTTGTAACAACACAGTTCTCTTGGGCTGTGTCAAGTTGACACTTAAAGCTAACCAGGACAGCTAGGAAGAGATGATCTTACGTGTGAACATCAGAATTCTAGCCGTGTGAATTTTAGCTCATATTGACGGTCTATGGCTGCTAGTGGAGGAAGAGTCCCTTCTCTTCAGGGTATGGTCCCTGCTAAGTTTCCCATGCTAGCCCCACATTCCTGCCCAGAGGAGCAGTGCAAATGGACTCAGTGTGCTATTTTAAAAGACTAAAGGAGAGGCTGGAGAGATGGAGCACTGGCTGCTCTTCCACAGGACCCGGGTTCAGTTCCCAGCACCTACATGGCAGCTCACAACTGTCTGTAGTTCTAGTTCTAGGGGATCTGACACCCTCACACAGATATGTAGGCAGGCAAAACACCAACACATATAAAATAAAATAGATAATTTTTAAAAATACTAAAAGAGAGTACATGGTGTTGAGAGCGGGATAAGGGAACAAACCTGGGAGAATTTGGAAAGGGGAAGAAGGGGTCCAACATGATCAAAATACATTATATGCATGCATAAAATTCTAAAGAATACATATAAAGATATTATATTCAAAGTAAAATAAAATGACCTGTTCTAGCGGGTTTTCTTGTTTCCTCAAAGTCCAAGGCTACATTGATCCTAATCTATTGCTTTAAATTGTTTAATTTTTACTGGAGAACCTGTTTTAGGTCAAACCCTCTCATTTCAAATATGCTTTGGGCTCAGAACCTCTAAAAGTACAGGGAGAGATGTCTGTTCTTTTATAATTTCACCTCAACCCCGCCAAGAGTTAAAGTAAAGAGCCTGCAGGTTTTGTGATGCTAGTGCCTGCATCCCTGTTAGCAGGGTGCTGCCATCCTAGTGCACAGATGGAGAAATGTCAGAAATGATGAAGCCCATAGACATTTAGGAGAGAAATTCCCACTGTATCTTGCTCAGCTAAAAATGTAGTATTATTACTATTCAGTTTGATCATTCTTATAGTCTTTGGTCAAAACAATGACCTTATCTCTGTTGCAGATGATAGGTGAGTGATACCTACTAGAAATGAGATAAATTTATCTTGAGGTATCCTTGGAAACAGCAACTGGATTTGGAAGAGAAGTCTGTAAGTCAGAGATGACTAGTTACATATCTTGTTTTTCCAAAGTGGGTGTAATTGTCCCTTCTTTCACCTTCTCCTCCAAATGCCCCTTATGTTAGATCTTTTCCTTGCTGTTACAAAACAACTTAGGAAATGTCTTAGGGTGGGGACTTACTTCTTTTGAGTCAGGGTTTTAGTGGATTCAGTTCATGGGTGCTCGGCTCCATGTGCTTGGACAGAACATGAAAGCAGTGCGAGCATGAGGGGAATAGCCTATTCACTTTGTGGTGGTCTGGAGTCAGAGAGCACAGAAGGAACCAGGACACCCCTAGTGTTCCACTTAAAGCATGGCTCTACCCCCTCAAAATGGCTCCACCAAGTTAGGGATGAAGTGCTTGACACAGGGGTGGGAACAGAGGGTACATTTTATACTTAAACCACAACTTCCTGTCACCCTTTTCCTTGTCTGTTTCAAGGGCTAGTCCTAACTTCTCTATTAAAATATAAATTCCATGAGACCAGTGAATTATTCTCTATAGTCACAGGACAGATTACATGTTAAATGCTTTGTTTCTTTCTTACAGCACTATCATAGTTGCGAACAATGACTTCCAACAGATATTAATGGAAAGAAAAAAAGAACGACATCTGTCATTCCCCAGATGGGGCTATGAGGAGCTCATAATCCAGTAGAAACGATAATGAGGCAGAGGCCTGAACGACAGGACACTCTCCAGTAAACTATTATCCTTTATTATGGCCAAGGAAAGTCAAGACAGATTCTAAATTTATTTTATTAGTAATAACGTGTGCATGTATGTTTCTCTGTGTATATGTGCACATGTATATGTGGGTGTATATGTATATATGAGACCAGAAAGAGGCCCTGAATCCTCTGGAACTAGAATTACAGGTGGTTGTGAGGTCAACATGGACAGGATCTGAACTTGGGTCCTCTGGAGGGAGCACACACTCTTAACAGCTGAGCCGTCTTCTCCAGCCCCAAGGTGAACTGTTTAGAAGAAGTAACATGTAAAACATAGCCATGAAAGACCAAGGGTTTGTGGTTCTAGAAATGGAGGTAAGTATGTGGGTTGGTTGTGAAAAGCATCAGTTTGTTTGACTTAGATTAAAGGGTAGGTCAAGGGTTGAACAGGTAGGTTGGGAGTGAATGAAGGAGATCAAGAGGTTTACAGATGTATATAAGGAAATACTGGTGGTATCTGAGAATAAGAGTAAAATACTCCAGGAAACATGAGCACCAGTGGGGATGCTGAGTTAGAAAACATGGTTATGAGGCAACAGCATAGTTTAGAACAAAACTAGTGGAGTAGAAATGGTACCAATGGAGCTGACATAGAAGAAACTGGAGATGCAGATACCAGAGATGCAGAACACAGGAGAAACATGCAAGGAGTGGATAAGGGCACAACGGATTTAGTTGGGGACACATGGGTTAGAGATTCAGGTACTGAAATCTTGAGATGGCCAACATACACTTGGTTAATTATATCCTGGGACCTACTAAAGATCAATACCAGTAAAGATAATTAAAAGCATAAAATTGTAAAGGTAGAGAACATAGTGAGAGAAATGAGAGAGCAATGGACCACTAAACTATGGGCACGTGTATTGAAGAGGAAGGAAGGAAAGGAGGGAGGGAAGGGGGGAGGGGTGAATGGAGGGAGAAGGAGGAAGGCACAAAAAGCAAAGAAGAGAGTCAGAAGAATACAATAACATAGAAACCAATAATGGAAACTTTATTAAAAAATTAAGTGTGTGTGTGTGTGTGTGTGTGTGTGTGTGTACAGCATATATTTGTAGGTCAGAGGACGATTTTTAGGAGTTTGTTCTCTTCTTCTACCATGTGGGGCCCAGGGACCAAACTCAGATGGTTCCAGCTTGGCAGCAATGTCTTTACCCACTTAGCCTCTCCCCAGCTCCCACAATGGGAAGTTTTAATACAAACTAAACCTAATCAACAATATCGAATGCTTCAGTGAGTTCTAGAAGAATTATAGTAAAGGGGTTATTGCAACTGATGGCAATTTACTCGTATTAAATTAAGTTGTTCTTGAAGAGAAGACAAGTATTTCCAGGGTTAATGAATAAGTTAAGAGGTAGTACAGAGAAAAGAGACCTTCACTGAAGATCAAAGGCCTGAATTTGACCAAGACTCTGCTGTTAAGTTGCCATATCACCTTTTAATCTTTCTTAAACTTTTTTCTAGTCTTCAAATTTCTACAGAATTGCTTCCAGCTTAGACTTTCAAATGTTCATACAAGCAGGAGAGACAGTTCAGTAGTTAAGAGCACTTACTGCTTTTGCAAAGGACCCAGGTTTGGTTCTCAGCACCCACAGGGCAGCTTAAAACTGCCTGTAACTAGCCAGGTGGTAGTGGTGCATGCCTTTAATCCCAAAACTTGGGAGGCAGAGGCAGGTAGATCTCTGTGAGTTCAAGGCCATCCTGGTCTACAGAGTAAGTTCCAGGACAGGCTCCAAATCTACATAAGAAACCCTGTCTTAAAAAACAAGCAAAACTGCCTGTAACTACAGTTTAAGGGAATCCTATACCCTTTTCTGACCTGGGATCCTTTGTGCAAGTGGTGGGTGCACACACATACACTCAGAAACACTCATATACATAAAACAAAAAATAAATCTTTAAAACTCCAATGTCCATACAAACTGTCTGTGTATCTAAATGATAGGAGATATTGAGCTTAAATCTTTGTCACAATTAGGAATTAGGTCAATTGTGCTGTGTGTGTGTGTGTGTGTATGTGTGTGTGTGTGTGCAGTGCAGCACATGTGTGAAGGTCAGAGGGCAACCCCAGGTTGGTCCTCACCTTCCGCCTTGTTTGAGGCAGTGTTTCTTTGTTGCTTACTGCTTTGCATGCTAGGGTAGCTCCCAGAGATTCTCCTGTCTCCACCTTCCATCTTCCTGTAGGCACCCTACTTTGATGCTGGGGACTGGAACTCAGATCCTCACATTTGCATATTCGGCAGTTCCCCACCTCCAAGCCATCTCCCCAGTTCCAATTTTGTAACTTTTAAACTGGCATATAAAAGAAGTATTATCCCTAGTGTTTCCAAATATAGAGAAATCGAGAGACTATGCTCTTCAATCTCCTCAAAGCAAACCAACTTCAAGGGGTCTTTTTTTGTGCTAGGGGTGAAGCTCAGGGCTTTATATTAGGCGAGTGCTCTACCAACTGAGTTACATCATCCCCAGCGAGCTCACTGTCCAGAATCCATTTCCTTTAGAAACCAACCGAAGCAGTTATTCCTGGTTTACCTGGTAGCCTATTCTATTGCTAGAAATCAGAAGGTGTCATCAAGCCTTCACTTGTTTGTTGAAATCAATGGAGTTACATTTCCCCAAACCATGGCTATCTCCTCACTCGTAACACACTCCTGAACAGGAACATTTTCTGAAAGTCAATGTTTCCTATCACATGCTCCAAAATTAAACCCGAGAATCAGCTTCAGGAAGAAGCCAGATGCACTGAGGAAAGAAAATTTTTACTTTATCAGAGGGGCAGACCTCTCTTAGATTTCATAGCAATTTAAATTCATTTGCTGAAATGTTAAATACAACAAATCTTTCAGAGGGGTTCCTTTACATAGATGCCAAGTTTGCATGGATGCAAAATAGTACACTTGGTTAAATTTCAATATTACCATGATTTGTATTAAACACACACACACACACACACACACACACACCTTTTACTTGCTGAAATCTGTACATTTTTCTGGAATTCTTAGTCCTTGTCATCTCTCAGAGGAAGATGGCTAATGCTGCCCCAAACTCTTCCTGTATTTAGTCCTAAAGGATATTGAACAGAATAAAGGGAAATTTTAATTTTGTTTTTAATAGGACTTATATAATTCAGGTCTGGCTGCAGTGAAGAAAAGTACATTAGCATTTATTGTGTGCTTGCTATACGCTAAACATGTCCGGAAACCCTGTCTCACTCAAGCTGAGAAACAATGCTTACTCATAAATTTACTTTTAATTTTAGAAATGAGAAAACTAAGGTCCGGGGAGGTTAAGCTACACTCTCAGTTATAAAACTGGAATTGAAACAAGAGCTGCCTGACCCCAGACTGAAGCTCTTTTCAGTTTACCAGTCAGTTTGGGCTAGTGAAAAATACATTCATAAAAGGGCATTAGCATTTTATGTATAAAAGGGGATTAATCAGGATCCTCTGGTACCTCCAGCACTGAATCCTATGCACATACGCTCGATCATGCAGGCATGATGGTGCCCGCGCGCACACACACACACACACACACAAGCACACACACACACACACATTTCATTCTGAATTCCCTACTGAAACTCAGCACCGAGGACAGTTCCTGAGTCATGTTTGCAGGAAGCTGTCCTTGAATTCTGTGCTATTGAGCTCACACCCCCATTCTTGACTTCCCAAGTGGCTCTGAGAGAGAGGGGAGGAAATGCAGAAAAGAAAAGAAAAAAAAACAGTATAAGATGGGTTCCTCTGACACTGTGGTGGAAATTAGCACATTTCCCAGAAGACCAAGATAAAAATGCATGTGAGAAGAACTAGGGAGCCAAACAGATGGGACAATAAAATGGGGGTAGAATGAGCTCATCAGGATTCCCAGCACATGGGTTAAGTCCATCCTGGGCTCCCTGGGCTGACCTGGGACCAGCAGACATAGTGAATGAGTGGGTGGTTACTATGCTGCTGCATCAGTTACACTAAGTGATTAGGTGGCGGTGATTCATGGCTGCAGATCTGCACGACTTTCTCAAGTAGCAGAAAATCTGTGGGCCCCTGGGCTCTGTCGCTTGCACAGACATGCTCATGGGTAACATGAGTCATGTATGCAGGATCTGTCGGGTAGACAGTTTCTGTGCTGTGAGGAGGAAATCAAGGAAGTGCTCCCATGATGTCAGGAATAGGTTACAATCACAGCCACAGCATCTCCTTTGCATGAAAGTCTACCTGCTGTTTACACAACCAGCCCCCCCTTCCATATTCAGCGGTGGCTACAGGCAGATCACAACACACACATAAGAAAACCAAGGTTTTGTAATGTTTATCACAGGGAAGCTTGATTCCTTCCTTCCCAAACTACCAAGCTCTTGAATAAAGCCAGGAGGGCCATTAAAGAGTTGATGCTAATTGCCTCATCTTCCCTACAAGGTCCAAAGAGGAGAAAATGGCTTGCCCCAAATCACTTAGCTAGTAACAGTTGGCATTGGGACTAGAAGGCCTCATTCCTAAACCAGCAGATTTTTCCATTGTACCAGGAAAACAAAATAAAACCCCAAATAGCATCAGCCCTTGAATTTTACTGTCTCTAGAGAAAATAACATCCTCAGTGCCTGGGTCTTCCCATCTGGGGTTTGGCAACTTCACTGATACTTCTCATATTGGAAACTCTTGTAAGGAATTTAAGAGCAATTATTTTGGGGATCTATACTATTTTTATGTCTTCTTGTGCATTGCCTTCTTTGTCCAGAAGGAAATTAGAATTCTGGAAATACACTTGATTTAATTATTAAAAAGACAAGCCTTGGCTTCAAGTAGTTGCAAATATGAATTATTAGTCCATGTCATGAAAGGACTAGAGAGCTAAATAGGAACAATAATAATCTATTGTCACACCCAATTAAGATCTCCCCTGGCCTATGAGTAAAAGAACATCAAATCTGTGAGTGCAAGCTTCAAGAAGCATGCCTATATCTGGATAATTCTGACTATGCCTGGATACAGTGCTTTACAATGTCATCTAGAATGTACTATTCTGGAAAGTGGTTTGAGGTCTTGTTACCTTCACTATTGCAAACTGTGTCTGTGTGGGTTTACTTGAACTTTTGAATTTCCAAGTAGCCAAGAAAAAAAAAAAAGAATCTAGAGAGAAATTGCAGACCCAAGGTCAAAATTGACAAGGAGTAACTAACTTCTTGTGGAGGACAGACTAACAAAGACATTAGCCCTCTCTTCATCACCTCCACCCCACCCCCAATCTGCACCATACTTTTCCCACTGATGAATATTCTTACCTGAAGCATCATTGCTTCCCTTGTCCTCTGGCTCCTGTGTAAACTGGATTTCCTGCCTGTAGGTTTTAATCCTTGAAGAGATTTTTCATGAATAGAACTTTCGTTATAATTTGGCAACATTGTCCTTGAAAACCCCACAACTATTTACATAACAGAAGCTATTGTTTGAAGTGCAAAACAGGTCAGAATTTGGTTTCTAGAGATTAATCACTGCAGTCTATTTTATATTATCATAATAATTTCATTTATTTTGATACAATTTGTTTTCAGAATCAACCTCAGCCTCTGTGCACTAGTGACAAATCCATTTGTTTCTGCTAGAATGGATAATGTGACTAATGACCTTGCAACAGGATTTCTTTAAAAAGGGGGGGAAAGATTTTCATTTTTAATTCACAGTAAATCTATTCAGTCTGTAGCTGTGGATCAGAACTGCTCTGAACTTGTAAGATGTGGGTAAGATTTTAAATACCCGCCCCAGGTTTTTTTTGGAGGGGTCTGAGTATTAATATTAGGTTCTCTCCAAGAATTTTAATGATACTGGTTCCAGGTGTAAAGAGGATTTGTTGGGCTCCCCTATTTGCAAGAATAGGACACCGTTTTACATCATGGTCCCATCATATTGACTCGGTTGGATGGTCTCATCCAACTGAGGTCATGCTAAATAAATAAGATCATGCCTAGAAAGAAGGTGTCCTGTTGACCTGTGTTAGCATCCCCTCCCTTCCTTGCACCATCCTGGACTCCTCCTCTCCCCAGCCCGGTCTGGGTTTTTTTTCCCCTTGAGTTCTCTGGGGTTGGGCCTGGAATTTGGAGACACCTCCAGACTGTCCTCCTCTGCTAGCGACCGGCCGTCGCGCGGCTCCTTCCCGCGTCCAGATTGAAGAAACCTACACCGGTCGCCGGGGTGGGTCGCGTGGAAGACCCGGGTTCGAGTTCCGCGAGGGGAAATCCTCTTTGGCAAGTGGAGTCACACCTTGGTCAGGATTTCTCAGGCGGCGCCGGAAGCCGTGCCATCACCATTCATCGTGGGCGTCAGGGTGTCCCCCGGGTTTCTCTGCCCGCGAGCCCCGCGAGGGACTCCTGAGAGAGACCCGCCAACGCTTCCTATGACCGGTTTGAACTCCAGTTTTCCTTTTCTAAGGACCCCGCATTCGCGCCTCAGGAACACCGCCCACGCAAGAGCCCAGGCGTCTGGCCCGCTTAGAGATGCGCCCCCGCCCCGCCCTCCGGGTGACGCGCACGCGGGCGGACCAATCAGAAGACGCAACTCGAGCCCCACGCACATGTGGCCCCGCCCTCCAAGCTTAAGAAAGGGCGCGCGGGCCGAGCTCCGGCCAGAACCCGGCTCCAAGCTGAGAGCAGGTTTCTACGACGGCAGGCGGCGCTTGTGCTGCCGGTTCGGCGCTACTAGCGGCTCCCTCGAGCGCTGCGCTCGGACAGACGTAGCCGGCCGCGAAGGCGCCCAGACGGCACCCCAGCGACTCATGCTGAAGTGAGCACACGGGTCAGCGAGATGCTGGCGCTGCTGACGGCCGGCGTGGCGCTCGCCGTGGCCGCGGGAGGAGCTCAGGACAGTCCGATACCTGGCAGTCGCTTCGTGTGCACCGCGTTGCCCCCCGAAGCCGCAAGCGCCGGCTGTCCGCTGCCCGCGATGCCCATGCAGGGCGGCACGATGAGCCCCGAAGAGGAGTTGCGAGCCGCTGTGCTCCAGCTGCGCGAGACCGTCGTTCAGCAGAAGGAGACCCTGGGTGCCCAGCGCGAGGCCATCCGAGAGCTCACCGGCAAGCTGGCCCGCTGTGAGGGGCTGGCAGGCGGCAAGGCGCGCGGCGCGGGGGCCACGGGCAAGGACACCATGGGCGACCTGCCGCGGGACCCGGGCCACGTCGTGGAGCAGCTCAGCCGCTCGCTGCAGACCCTCAAAGACCGCTTGGAAAGTCTCGAGGTAGCCGCGCGCGAAGGCTTCTAGCGGGTGGTGGCCCCAGGATCGTGGGACAGAGGATATTGAGGGGTGGGTACGCCCACGCCCATCCTTGGGGAGAGCTGAGATCAGGGGTGCAAGCCTTGCTCCCTCTGGACATTACTGGGACGGCCTCTCTTATCCCTGCCCTCCTCTGTCCCCTTGTCGGATGGGAAAGATGAAATCCTCACCCCCACCTCCATCCCGTCGCGCAGGGACTTACCTATTAGACTTACCCTGAACTTAGGTTTTTGGTTATTGAACCCAGACAGCCTAGCCTGGAGGGCAATACCCAGTGACCCTGGCAGCCTGTTTTCTCTCCTTGCAAATCTCCGCAATCCGCGATCTGGCGCGGGACACGCTCCCGGCTGGTTGTGCCCAGTGCTGAGAGCCTGTCGCCGGAGGTCAGCTGCCCTTGGGCATCTGGTGTTTTCTTTGACAAATTGGGTCGGGGAGTGGGAGGACTGGGTTTGACTGATGGGCAGGAGAGTGGAGGGGGAAAGCCAGAGACCCCCCCAAATGTGAACAAGCCCCTTAGTAACCTCAAAGACACCTCTATTCATCGAGTCAAAACGTTTTTTTAAGGTGCCCTTTGCCATGACTTTAGGAGAACCGACTTTATCCCGCTGTCTTCTCTCGTGTACAGTTTGGAACTTTGGGGGAGAAATCTTCAATTAATTTTCATCTTACTTCCCACCTTGTTTAAGAAGTGTGGACATTTCTGTTAACAGCGTTTATCAAAATACCTATTAGCAAAAAATGATGTTTAAATTACAGGTGTTAATTATTGCTAACTTATTGGAGGGTTTCTTTTGGCTTAATGGCTGCATACAGTATTTCCAGCATCTGTAGATCCCATGAGTCATTAGGATTAGTAAGAGCTAACACTTCTTGAGTTCTAAATGTGGCTCAGGCACATTATTTAATTTTAACCCTTGTAACAGAGAATAGCACGAGACAGGTCCTGTTTTCTACAATTTATATTCTGGAGCACTGGGGCACAGAGTACAGGAGCTTGCCAAGGGCTGGTGGCTGACGGTGGCAGACTGCCTCTGAGCCGGCATGATGGCAGAGGAGTAAGAGAAATAGGAAGTGAGGATTTGGGTACAGCCCCAAAATCCAAGCTTTCTGGAGGTTAGAATAGTAATGTCTTGTGCCCGTCATTTTCCAGGGGCATCTCTGGGCACTTTGACCCTGTATCATTTTGGAAATTGGGGACCGTGTTCATTTCTAGATGAAAGCTCACTGTACCATTGGTTAATTGCTTGAAAAAAAATCTTGCCTGTGTCTTTGGGCTTTCTATGACATAGAATTACAGATGTTAACTAAAGCAACTTTTCAAGAGAAGAAGTGAGATTCACAAGTTTCAAATATTGCAGCAAAGTAATTTTTATCTGACTTTGAAAGGCTTCCCCTACCAAAAAAAAAGAGGCATCAGAAAAATGTTCTTTTTTGAGCCACTGGCACCATTCAGTGCTGCGTTGGAAGTCTCTCGCTGTGTGGTTGGGTCATTGGAGCCTCGTGCCACAGTTTTTATTCAGCTGGCCTGAATATGTCCCCCTCCCGCCCTTCCGAAGCTCCAGCTCCGCACAAACGCGTCTAATGCCGGACTGCCAAGCGACTTTCGAGAGGTGCTCCAGCGGAGGCTCGGGGAGCTGGAGAGGCAGTTGCTGCGCAAGGTGGCCGAGCTGGAGGATGAGAAGTCCCAGCTCCACAATGAGACATCGGCTCACCGGCAGAAGACAGAGAGTACCCTGAACGCGCTGCTGCAGAGGGTGACTGAGCTGGAGCGAGGTACGTGCTGGGCGCCTGATGCTCTGTCTGAGAGTGGCCTCCTTTTTACCACACCGGGCAGACCTAGGACTTCCATGTGTGGGCAACAATGAAGCAGTGGTGGTGGCAACAACATGGAGATGATCCTCAGATGTCTGTGTAAATGACAAAGGTGACAGAGTAGTCATTAGCCCCAAGCCCTACCAGCATTGCCTTGGGAAAACAAAGGAACTGAGGACTAGCTTGGATCAACAGCCTGACCTCTGACCTCCTTCCAGATGGGCAATTCAGTCTCTTTTTAACTAGTCATTACAGCAGACTCTGCTTATTTTTCTATTCTCGTGCTGTGGTGGGTAAGATTCTCCCACTAGAGATGGAAAGGGAGGAGAGATAAAGGGTCCTAGATGCTTCAGTTTGTGGTCTCAACCCCCCAACTCTCTGGGTAGCCAGTGATGTTTTAGGTTTGGTGGCAGAGGGTATAGAATTATAGTCTCAGATGCACTAAGCTAACAAAGACACTTTCAGTTTCATGACTGATATGAGACTGTCCAATAGAAAATGTCCAGTGAGTCTCATAATGAAAAGAAGGGTCAGATGGAGCAGGGAATGGGCCAATGGGATATTGTTTTGTTGGGAGTCCCAGGTTTCCCATGTCCCCTTCCTATTTTCTATTAGTTCCCTTGCCTTTCTTATAAAAGGATGAGCAGTGTCGCTTACCTATTTGATTTTGATTCTGTTTAATTTTTTGTTGTTGTTGTTGTTGTTTTGTTTTCTTAAAAAAGCATCTTATATTAATAGCCTAAACTGGTCTTCAGCTTATCATCCTCCAAGGTCAGCCTCCCAAATGCTGGGATTACAGGCATGTGCTACCATCTCTGGCTTGACATGGATTCTTGAGTTTTCAAGACAGTCTCTTCTGTCTTACTTCTGCTGCTAGATGGTATTGGGAGAGCCATTAGGTCTCAGAGCCTTTGTCAAAGGCAAAACTACTGCCTCTGATGCCTTTCTTGTCTGACAAGAGGGAGGGTGGCGCCTACCCCACCACAATCATAGTGGATCCTTGGGACACACAGGACCATGGAGTGAACACAGTAATAACACAGTGGTCAGCTGGCCGACAAGGGGGCAGGTCAGTAGAATTCTGAGGCAGAGAATGGAATTAGTGCCAGGCAGTGTACCCATTTCACAGGTAAGGAAATGCTCACTTCCCAGGCAGACAAGTCTCCTTTATGGATACTTGCCAAAGAACCCTGAGACACGTGTCCCAAGGGCAGAAACCTGAGCCTCTCCATTCTCTGTTCCCGGACTCCAGGCCAGTGGAACAGTTACTTGGGAGCTGCTACTTAATAGCTCTCCCACATGTTCTCAGCCTGTATGCTCACAGCCAGGAAGGAAAAATCATGGTTTAGGGCCAGCCATGCTGGTTCTGGTAACCACATTGTGCCCCTTAGTTATTACTGAAAGCTTACAACTGAATGGACCATGGGATGCTGGGCCCTACAAGAGCCAAGCTTCTTGTACAATATGGATTAGAGGAAGGAGTCCATTAAGCCTTTTCAAACTCTGTGTGTATACATATATGTATGTGTGTATAGTACACATGTGTATATATGTTTTGTATATGAGTACATATATGTACATGTGTATATATATATCATATATAATTAATTTATGTGTATGGGTGTTTTACCTGCATGTATATGTATGCCACATTTATACCTGGTGCCCATGGAACCTAAAAAAGGGTGTTGGTTGGATCCCCTGGAAACTGGAGTTACAGATGATTGGGAACCACCCTGTGGGTGCTGAGAGATGAGCTTGGGTCCTCTACAAGACCAACAAGTGTTCTTAATTGTCATCTCCAGTCCCAGACTTCCCTTTGACTCCCCCATCACAGGAATGCTAGACTTTTTCCTTGTGTCCCACCTACTCAGCTCTGGAATGAGTTGTAAAGGAAAATGACCATCTGGTAAGCCATTTGTTTCTGGGCACTTCTGAGTGTGTGCTCATTCTGTTCTGTGTCCACTGTACAGGGTGTGGAAATGCCCAGCCCCCAAAGTTGACAATGAGTGGGAACTCCACCATGTTCCTTAGAAGCATCCAGCCGAGCCCAATAGAGGTGGACCTCCACCGTGTGGCCAGGCTTTGGGGAGTCTCTGTCCCGTGGTCCTTCAGTCTCCATCAGTTATAAGCCGGATGCTTACCTGTGGGTTCTGTATTTTCTATTATCCATGGTAGGTATGGGTGAGGCAATAATGATGCTTTTGAGTTCTGCAGATCTGAGAAGGTTGGTAGTGATCCCAGAGGAGAAATGGGCTTTTATCCCTGCTAATCAGGAACTCTCTAGAGTCAAGCAGGTAGCTACTGACACTGCACAGCACCTGCGTTCCCGGGATGCCCACTTCTCTTGGTTGCAAGACCTGTTCGTTTGCAAAGGCTCAGAGTCCGGGCCAGCTGGTCAGGCACAGCT